TTTAATAAGGGGTCAGCAAGGGTCAGAGCTTTTAGAGAAAGAAAACATTAACTTATATAATTTATATCTTAAAGCATCCTAACTTTTTAGTCTCATACCTTGATAATATCCAGTAACAATAACATTTTTGGCCAGAGGTAGTTTTAACTGGTTTTCAAGATGGAAAAGAAAAATTGTATGGTGTTTTAAAAGATTGCAAACATTGAAATGAAAGCTTAACAGCCTACATACATGGGCATCTGAGGAAATGAGAACTCCTATACCTTTGCAAACACAATGAACTCTTTAGCTATGCATATTCCCTGAAAAGACAGAACGTGGGTTTCCAGAAAAAATGGCCACAATTTCTTTTCAAAGCCTTAAGATTAGAGTACCATATTCTGAAATGCTGAATCCATGAGTCAGACAAGAACAACAACAAAAAAAAACGTGAGTTGCTATTGGTCTCCAACCCCTGCTGAATCGCTACCTGAAATCTAAAACAAAGACAACAGGGTGTGATTAAGTGGAATCACAGAAAATTGATTTTTACATGCTCTGAAGTACTGACATTCAGTCTTAGCAAAAGATTACCAATAACTCAACAGGTATTTATTACACATTTATGTACCCAAGGTGGTTTTTTCTTCCAGTATTATAGCCATACTTTAAATGATTCATCATTATCATGCTGAAAAATAAATGATACTTTCCCTTCAAACTAAGAGCTAATAAACAAATATGATAAATTCATACCTTACACAAATCATATTTTTACTTCCAATTGTGAAAAATGACTATCATTCATAGACTAACAATTGTTATATTTTTATCCATATTTATTTTATTATTTATTTTTTGATACAGGGTCTCGCTTTGTCACCCAGACTGGAGTGCAGTGGCCAGATCATGGCTCACTGCAGCCTCAACTTCCTGGGCTTGAGTGATCCTCCTGCCTCTGCCTCCCAAGTAGCTGGGACCACAGGCATGCGCTCACCACACCCAGCTAATTTTTAAAATTTTTTGCAGAGACAAAGACTCACTATGTTGCCTAGGCTGGTCTTCAACTTCTGCAATAAAGCAGTACTCCTGCCCTGGCTGCCCAAAGTGTTGGGATTATGGGCGTGAGTCACCAAAGTCAAGCTTTACCCATTTTCAAAAGGTTATTTCCATCCATATAAACATAGCCTTGATAGCATCCTTTGCCAATTTTTCCAAGAGATCTTTCAGGAGCTTGTAGGGGAAAAAATAGAAATAAAGACGTTACCAGTTTCTGCAAAGAATTATACAAAAACCATCTCTTTACTTATGGAGGGAATATGAGAGCACCTCAGCACTTAGGAAGAGACCAGCCCATTAAAACATCTTTTTGGCTGTGGCAAAGCCTATGGTTCTCAAACTTGAGTATGCACCAGAACCCCCGGAGGGCTTGCTGAAAGACTGCTGGGCCTTGCCCTAAGAGTTTCTGATTCAGTAGGTCTGGTGCTGATGGTGCCAACCTAGGGGCCACACTTGGAGAATTCCTGCTCTGGGCAGCTCCCTTTCTCTTCCCGCTGCTTTCCACTTCTCCACCTTGCCAAACTTGCTTCTTTGCTGAATGTCTTCAGGATATGCCTCATTCTTCAATATTTGAATAATGTTTTATTCCCTAAATCTGGCAATTTTACCAAGCATTTATGATGTCTACTTGCAGTTGTAGAAATATTTCTTCTTTTGGCCGTAAGTTTGTTTTGCTGGGCTTGTTAAAAACCTTGTAGTCCATACTCTTCAACAATACTTCTCATCTTCTTTCTTTTTGATGCTGCTATTTCCAGGCATTTGATGTTCATCTTTTGGAGATGTTAGCATGGGAGAAAGCATCTCTGTGCCACTTGCATTTAGTTTTGAGCAATGCAACTCACCATGTTCCTCACCTTTTCCCTCTGAACCAGTTTTCTTCTAATGGGGAGAAACTGTTGTCAGTGACAATCACTCTGTGACCTTTCACAACAGGAGTGGGAGATATGGAAATACTGACAAGGTAAAATTGTCAGCTCAAGCACTAGCAGAGAAAGCAGCTGACAAGAGCTAACTGCTTTTACCACCCCTCCAACCATCCCACGAACCATGACGTCCTCCAAGCTATGCCTCCAACTAGACTGCATCCACAGCTGCTAGAGTAAGCCACTCTGCTCTCAGCTCAGCTCAGATAAGGTTCATAAGACATACAGGACACTGAATACAGCTTCTAACGCTGAGACTTTTACATAGTATTCTCCGCAGAGGGAAAAACCTGTGTGGCTTAGAACCACAGCAGTGAAGTCAAAATAAAATAAAGACCTGAAATGAATCATGTATCACCAGGAGCCTTCGCCTGGAGTCAAAGTGGAGGACCCAACATATCAGCAATGACTGCACCAGCCCAGTTCCTTTCTCTCAACACTCTGTATCTTTTTCAATTCCAAGTGACTTTAATGATAACTCTGCAGCAACAGAACTTCCCAGGCTATATTATAGGTATACAGATATAGCCACAGTGTCTCTAACTCCAAAATGCAAAAATGCAAGGCCATGTCGATCTATTTGGAAGTCATAACTACTTTAGTTACTTGTCCTAGGTGTTGTGCTTTACTTAACAAAGGATGCTACAAGCATCACAGACTAAATAGATTTATTTCAGATTTTGGCCATTTTGCTGCAAAAATAGCCTTGTTAGTAGCCTATTTCATAGCCCAGCAAAGCAATGTCCTTTGAAATTTTGAATCATACTTGATTTCTAAACAATTCAAGGCTAAATGTGGCCTACCTTCCAACCACATACCACTCAGTAAAAATTATACTCAGCACCCTCCAAATCTGGAACCAGGTAAACAAGCTACTGATTTCCTCTTATTAGTTCTTACCAAGAGGCAACACAAGGTTGGGCATGGTAGCTCACACCTATTACAACACTTGGGGAGGCCAAGGCAGGAAGATTGCTTGAGGTTAGGAATTCAAGACCAGCATAGGCAACTGAGCAAGACTCCATCTCTACAAAAACTTAAAAAATTAGCCAGGCGTGGTGGCACACATCTGTAGTCCTCACAACTCAGGAGGTTGTGGCAGGAGGATGGCTTAGGCCTACAAGTTCAAGGTTAGAGTGAGCTATGAACACACCACTGTACTCTAGCCCGAGTGAGAGACCAAGAGCCTGTGTCTAGGAAACAAAAATAACAACAAAAGGCAACACCAGAGTTTTGTTCCTTTAAAATACTGCATCTCAAAAATAACCTAAACTTCCCTTAAACTCATAATTACAACTAACTTTTTATTAATGATCCTTACAGAAGCAGATGTTTTGACTTCTGCCCATCGTAGAAAACACACAAGATTAGGATTCAGACAGGCCATTTGTATAGCCAGCTGGGATAAATCAGAACCCTGAAATAAATAAAAACTGTTTAACTCAGCTTTAGTTATTACTTTTGAGCAGATCAAATACATAAGCTCAAGGATCATCCTCAAAGCAAGTCATATTTCAGAGTTTTTTCAACGCTGATTACAAAACCTGATTTTTGAAACTATGTAACTTCTTTGAAAGATTATAGATTTTTCTTAAATGACATTATACACTGTGCCACATATAAGAAACTTTAAGTTTTAAGATTCAAAATACACTCAATTCTAAGGCTATCCTCTGGAACTGGTTAATACAGAAAGCAAGCAGAATACATTAATAATTCCTTAAACATGCACATACAGCACCTTAAAATGAGGAGTGCAATTTACAACCCTGTGTTGGAAAGTATTTGTGTGCTTAATATTCTATTCTCTCAGGCAACTAATTTTCTCCTCATTTATTACAGGTAGATGTTGCATTCTTGGGTAATCCCTGTTGAAAGTATGCAAAATGTGTAGAAAAGCATGCTTGAGAAAGATAATAAATATTCATAGTATACTGTTTCATAAATAAGCATCTCAGACTGAATCAGATCTATCACTGTTAAACAAGAGATTATAACCCAGGGCAGAGAAACTCTGAAAGTCTGGGGTTCTAGTCCTGGCTTAGTTACGTGATTTGGAACAAGTCACTCAACTCTGTGACTGCTTTCATCTCCTTAAAATGGCATGACTTCATAGAGATGTTTGAAATGTAACTAATGTTGTATATAAAAATTATTTTTAATCATAGGCAGAAAAGAGGACTATTAGGCAACAAGTTACATAAAAAAGTTGTGGGAACACCTTGGCCATCTGACCTCTGGAGGTTTTCACTAATAGGCCATGACCATGGGACCAACTGCTGCATGAGTTATAGAGCTTGACACAAGAAAAAATTATGTCCATAGATTTCTCTCAACCCCAACCAAGTATGCTAAAAATATATGCCATGGGTCACTATGGTGACAATGCACATGACAATAAAATCTAACCTCATCACTAAAACAATTCAGTGGTACCATTTTATATTCAACAGACATTCTATTTTCTATGCCCTGTGGGGTGCGGCCCACAGGGAAGGGAAGCACACTGTTGCATGAGAACCAGGGGCAACTTAAGAGGCATGCGGGGCTGGCTTCAGCACTCTCCCACCCCATCATCTCCACCTGCACCTCCCTCTACCACATTCCTGATTATGAACAATTGACATGTTCTCAGTCTTACATGAAGTGCCATCGAAACTTAGCTTCAAGTCCCTTTTTCCAACTAGATTCCTCCCACCCACCTCCCTACTTCATCAATAAAGAAATGTGGAGTTTCCATTGATAAGAACTATCATTTTAAAAGGGAACATGATAAAGCAACCTATGATTACACTTTGTATGGGAAACAGGGGCAATCACACTTCAGGGGAAGGAGGCGCTGCCCCATTCAGCACTATTTAAGACAGAAAATAAGCAGGTATATGAGTAGGAGTCCCTCTACAATGTGACCAGAGCAGGGAGCACTTCGCAAAGGGCTTCCATGCATTTCAGAGTAAACACACTCATTAGTATAAAAAAAGAGCCCTTCTGTCATCCAGGCCCCTGAATGAATGACAGACACGCTTGACAATACTTTTCAGAAAGCATGGCTTCTCTCCAGCAGCTCCAGGCCATCACTTATTTCTCACTTTGACAAAGTAGCATCCAACTTCAGGCACAACTGTATATATAACTCCACATGCAGCTGAGCCATCATAAACATGCCAAATATAAAGGCATGTCAAAAAGACATTTTACCTCCCCAAAGCATGGCCCCAAGAAGCCATTATTATAATAGAGTGTGAATTTCTACTGCAGGTTATTAACCTATGATACTAACAATAAAGTCCTGCTTAGGACATAAAGGCTTACACTGGGACATGAAGTAGTAAGACACAATCCACTGACTATTTTAAATTTGCTATACACCTAAACCATCTTCTCCATTAAACCAATTTGCGTGTGTGTGCATGTGTGTATACACACATCCTCTTTCAGTAGAACATAAACTCTGAAGATGAGGTAAAATACAATACAGCTGCTGCTGATGATGAGCTGTCTGAGTTTCTGCAGACCATCTGCAGAAAAATGGACGTTCTCAAGGCCCAGTTGCTGGTGTCTCTTTTGAGGCTCCAAACTGAGAACTTGGTTGATTTATCTTATTGGCACTCTGCGTGAATCAAGAGTAGGCTCAAAGGCAAGCCTTATCTCCTCCAAACACAATTCCATACAGGCCTCAACTCCGTAGTTAAATTTGTTTGGAACTGACTACAAGTTTGGAACTTCCTCAAATGACATTAAAAGCTCTACACAAAAGGTATGCAAAAGCAGTAACTGGTTTTTCAAGAACAAAGACAACTGCGAAAAAGCAACAGCTCTGTCAATGGAGCTGTAGTAAATGTTGAAACAGCAATAACAAGGTAACAAATAGAGCAGAGGGTTACCTTTTTGTAAAAAATTGCTGCCTCAATACTTCACTAATTAAAAAAAAGATTCCCACAACGTGATCTTCTGAGAGAAAGAGTCCACTGCTGCGTTTGAAGAGGAGTTGGTTCTGGTGGGGAAAGGACTAGGAATGTCGATTAAGATATGAAAGACTATCTAACACGAAGTCCACCATTTGCTTCAGCAACGTCCAGTCAGCTCCTGGAGGGTGAAGTCTTGCTCTCTAGCTGTATCCAGGGCTCTTTTCTTGTGGCATTTTAAAAAATGTAGCAGTAGTTGGGTCTGTGGCTTTCTCTGCTGCAGGGGTCCTGACCAACCACTCAGAGCTGGGTGATTTCGGGGCTTGTGGCGCTGGTGTGGCTGGCTCCATTGCATCCATGTGAACTAGTAAGGTTACAATAAAGAGGAGCAAGAAAATCAAGGGGAGAGAAATTAGAATAAGACAAATTAGGGATACTTAGAAACAAAATTTTCTTAATCCTTATACTTTATGTCCTAGTAATCCAAGTGGCCACATAAGGTATTTCTTTTCTCTCTACAAAAAAGTGAAGACGAGATTGAAATAAGATGGTATTTCCTAATCTGAGAAAATGGGTTCAGTTGAACAAATAAATTCAGTGGCACGCATTCATAAGGTAGTAAAAATCACTTATTAAATATTTATGTGCCTATTGCTTAAATAATGAATACTCATGATTTTATTTGTTAATGCAAACGCTTACTAGTAGTCACCTCTACTTTCTAGATCAGGGAACTGAGGTACAGAGAGATCAGATAAATTGTTCAGGGATAAATAAAACAGAGCTGCTTAAATATCAAGATTCAAACACAGGTACTGGACTCTAAACCCTACGCTCTTCCTGCCACAACCCGTGCCTCCGATGGGGCAGTGTTACCACTATCGAAAATGGTAGAAAGAGCACAGTCAGGCCCAGTATTTTTCAATGAGATCACTAAAGACATTCTGGACGGGGGACATGGCTTGTGCAGGGCTGTCCTGTGTACTTCAGAACACTTACCATTCTGGATCCTATCTGCTGAATACCAGGAACATTCCCCAATCATTGTGACAAACCAACATTTACTTCACATTTCCAAATGCCCCTGAGAAGAGTGGCACAAACCACCATCATCACTACCCACTCTGCTGAGAACAAACATATACTAAAATATGGCAAAATCTAGGTAAGTCTGAATTTTACCCTGACACCCAATAATTCCACTCCCAGGAATGTAACCTAGAACAGTAATTTTCAAATTGTGGGTCACAAAATCAATTTAGTGGGTCATGACCATTACTTTTTTTCTCAATGAAAAAAACAGAAAATATCAGAGTGCACCCAAGACTTATTTCAGATTTACATGTACAACCAACACACATATTTAAGCATGAATTTCTTATTGTGGGTTAATGTAAAATATTTTGAAAGCTATTACTCTATAGTGTGTGTATATCTAGCTAGCTGTGTGTGTGTGTGTGTGTGTGTGTGTGTGTGTGTGTGTGTGTTTCTTGAGGGCCTTACTACATGGTCACCAAACCTCAGTAAAAAAAGCCCCACCCTAAAACAACTTTTTTCTTTTTTTTGCTATTTTTGCATTACAGTTAAATATACATAAAATTTGCTATTTTGCCCATTTTTAAGTGTACAGTTCAGTGGCATTAAGTACATTCACACTGTTGTAAAACTATCACCACTATTTATCACCAGGACTTTTTCATCATCTCAAATGGAAACTCTGTACCCATTAAACAATAACTTCCCCCAATTTCCCTCTTACCCTAGCCCCTGGCAACCACCATTTTACTTTCTGTTTCTATAAATTTGACTCTTCTAGCTAGCTTATAAAAGTGGAATCACACAATATTTCTCCTTTTGTGTCTGACTTATTTCACTTAGCAAACGTCTTCATCCATGTTGTAGCACATGGCAATTTCACTCTGAATAAGAAAGGCTTTCCAGCTACATAATATTTCATTGCACGTATATAGCACTTTTGTTCATCTATTCATCCAGCAATGGACATGTGAGTTGTTGCTACCTTGACAACTGCAAATAACATTGCTGTAAACAGAGGTGTACACAAATCTATTTTGAGTCTCTGCTTTTAATTCTTTTGGGTACATGCACAGAAAGAGAATTGCTGGATCATATGGTAGTCTTATGTTTAATTTTTTAAGGAACTGTTTTTTCACATACTGTTTTCCATAGCAATGCATGATTTTACCTTCCCACAAGCACTGCTCAAGGGTTCCAATTTCTCCACATCCTCATCAATACCTGATATTCTCTGTTTTTTGATACAACCATCCTAATGAGTATGAAGTGGCCTGGAAGAATGTTTGCACTTGTTCTCCCAGAGAACAGTACAGTATTTTCCATAATAGCATAAAACCGGAATACAATCCAAATGTCCATCAAGAACATTTAATTATAGTATATTAATCACATTCATACAATGGAATACCATATACATGGCAGTTAAAAAATAGATTTTGGCAGGACAAAACAGGAATGAAACTCAAGAATAGAACTGGGTGAAAGTTGTAACATAAAATATGACATAGTTTGATTCCACATATACAAGATTCAAAAACACAAAACTAGACAATTTATTGCTTAAAGATACATAGGTCTGCTAAAACTACTTGAAAAAAACAAAATAATGGCGAACAATAAACAAAAAACAATCAGAATAACTTTTACCTCTGAAGAGAACAGGGAGAAGATTTTTAAAGAAGATTTTAACTTTTTAAACTTTTTAAAAAAGAAAATTTTAACTTTTTCTTAAAGTGAATGGTAGGTACATGGATATTTGCTGTACTGTTTTTCTTTACTCCTTACATATCTGCTATAAATGTTCTTTTATACCCATTCAATATTTACTAAGAAACATGTTTAATTTTTAAAAACCTTTAAGCTTTAAAAAGACACAGTGGGCAATAAGAATTTGTCCTATGACTCCTGAGAAAAGGGACATCCTAAATGGAACTACTGAATCCAACCATGTGGTTAGAATATATCAGAAATTATTCTGTTTCAACTTTAAGATTCTATAAATTTATTCCTACAACAAATAACTAGTGGGTTTGTTCTCTGGGCGAGGTATTCATTTAGATGTTAGGGGTACAGTAGTGAGCAAAATAGATAAACAGTCCTGCTCTTGTGAATGCATCTGATAATACATTTGACAATTCAAATCTCCTCTCTCTGTGTGTCTCTCTCTTATATCACTGACCTAGTATTTGAAAACTGATGTAACTAATTAACAATCATTAACTATTAGGTACCCTTCTGAATGATATTCTAAGCACACATATCCTATCCCAGAAAGAGAAAGGTCAGAAAAAGCTTTTGGGATAGCTAAAATATATTCACACAAATAGCTGGGTTCTCAACAGAATTTCCGGTCTCCTCAATTCCCCTTTATCAAAAGCCATGTGTTTACTTTTTTAAGGATTGGAATCTGCATGCCAGTGGCTCTGATCTACCATTCTGATGAAGAAAATCATTTCAAGAAAACAAAGTCTGGTTTTCATCTGGGTTTATTATGTTTTTTACAGCTACTTAGTCTCAAATTTTGGAGAAGATAATCCATTTTTTCTTCTTCTCTAAGTACATTCTTTTTTTTTTTTTTTTTTGAGATGGAGTCTCACTTTGTTGCCCAGGCTGGAGTGCAATGGCGTGCTCTCAGCTCACCGCAACCTCCACCTCCGGAGTTCAAGCAATTCTCCTGCCTCAGCCTCCCAAGTAGCTAGGATTACAGGTGCGCGCTACAATGCCCGGCTAATTTTTGTATTTTTTAAGCAGATATGGGGTTTCACCATGTTGGTCAGGCTGGTCTTGAACCCCTGACCTCGTGATCCGCCTACCTCAGCCTCCCAAAGTGCTGGGATTACAGGCATGAGCCACCACGCACAGCTTCTGAGTACATTCTTTAAGAGCATATTCAGCTAGTTCACTAGAGCATGAGGGAGACACTTGCCGGGAAATCCTGTTCTGGCGTACCAAGTCTTAGAAGCGGGTTAGCATGCTTGCTCACTAAAATCCAGTGTGTGGTTCTGTACACTAGACACCTGCATGCTATAAAGCCATAAAGGAGAGGAGAATGAAGATAAAAAGAAAATGAAAGGTGCTGCACTTTCAAGATGGGTCTATTTAAGAACTCTGTGGTCATTTACAGTCATTTTCCTTGGCCTTTTGTTACTATTAGTACAAAAAGACAAGGAAGACATGGTGTTTCTTCCTGTTCTTCACCTCTCTAGCCTTATTAATATCTTTAAATTCAGTCAATTTCAACTCAAAACTTTCTGCCAGTGGGGGAGGGGAAAAAGGGAAAAGATTTGTGGCTGCATGTTTAAGAAAGAAGCTGAATTCATCACAGTGACAGGGGAGAGTGTTGGCAGAGATCTGAGCTATTTATTCTTTTAGGAAAATCCTATAAAGAATGACACAAGGAAGCCTCTATCTGCAGTCTTGTTCATCACACTGGTGAAGAGTCCGATAACAGATGTATGCAGTAGCGTGATTTAGTGCCAGGAGCTGGCCCCTGATGTGTATTAATACAGCGGCAAAGCGGAACGCACCTCTCTTCATCACTCATTCCTATAAAAGAGGTGGAATCCGAGATGGCCCGATGTTAGGCAGAGCAAGCCCATTTGTTCTCCTGACTGATGGCACAGGCTCAGGCTATGTCCTTCACCTCCATGGGGCACTCAGGTTGTGGGTGGAAAGAAAGAAAATGCTCAGTGAAGCAGGCTTAGTCAACAAGTGAGAGGAGAGGAGCTGGGCTCAGGAGGGGAAATGTTTAATGCTCAAGTCTTGTTTAATGCCCACCCCACACAAATACATTTCCCAACCTGAATATGAAATAAGGATTTTAAACTCTTCCCAAGGGTTCCTCTCTTATAAATAATTAAAAGCTAAAAGTAGAAGCAAGATATCAGGGAGAAAAAAAGAACAAAAAGATAAAAGAGGGGTGGTTTTCTTTTAATGCTTCCAATGCTATAGACTGAATGAGGATCTGAGTGTTGATGCGGGGTCATGGTTTGGACTCAAGCCTGTTGTATGTAAAAAGTAGAACACCTGAAGTGTTCGCGAGAACAGCTCTAGAGTCATAGGGAAACTGGTCTGATCTTGGCTCTGCAATTTATCAACCATGTGGCCTTAGGGAAGTGATTTAAGCCTTGGTTTTCACATGTGTAAACTGGGAATAAAAACAGCATCTACCTTTTAAGGCTGTTGCAAAGATTAGGTGAAATAATGTTTGCAAAGTGTTCGGCTCTGGGCCTGGCCACTGAGCTGGCACTAAAAAAAAAAAAAAAAAAAAAAAAAAAAAAAAAAAAAAACCAAAAAAAAAAAAAAAAAAAAAAAAATGTACTACAATCATCAGACCTGTGATGAAGATTGTCCAATATGAACCACCATCAAACAGACACCCCAAACAGAAGCTCAAGGAGGACAATTTCAGAGTTCACCAAAACTTACTAAGTCAAGGCAGAGGACAGGGCTCCCTCCCCATCTGTCTGCGGTTTCTCTCTATTCAGCTATCAACTGCTCTGATCTATATAATAGGTAGTATTTTCTACTAAAGAAAATAAAATATTTGATGATATATTCAGTATCCAGTTTTGTCACTGATATATTAATAAATACATAACTATCCGCTTTTGTCCATTGAAGGATAACATACACACAGTGAAGGACATCAATCCTAAGTGTACAGCTCCAGACTCCACATACCTAAGCAGCCATACATCCCCACCAAGTTCACCATATGGCGCACTGCCAACAGTCCAGAGGGCTTCTTTGTGCCCTCTCTTGGTTACTACCCCCGACCAAAGAGAACCACTATTTTCACTTCTACTGATTAGTGTTAGTTTTGTTTTTTTTTAAAAAAAAAAAAAAACTGAAAAGTTTTAGCCTAAAAAATTGCTTTTAATTAGGAATGTCATGACCAGTAAAATATTAGCATTCTACTTATACATAAAAGCAGTAAGAATGTACTGTATTGTCTGCAAAAGAAGAAAGTAAATAACCCCATGTGACTGCTTGACTGCTGACTGAACTGCCACCTCACCTGGACTTTCATTAACATGGACCTGTCTGTGATAGAACAAAAGCTCAGATGACTAGAGACTGCTGACAGTGGAATATAGCGTTTCAAACTCTGGAAAGCCACATAACAGTGAAAACGCGTAGATTTCAGAGTCAGTGAGAACTAGGCTAATTATTTCTTATAGTCTCAGTTTTCCCATGTAAAATGGGAATAAAATGACCTACACTATCACAAAGATTACATGAAAAGGTATACAAAACACATAATTTAGTGCCTGACACATGGTACATGCTCAGTAAATGATAACTGCATGTAATCACCTGCACTGGGGCTAGACAAAGATGCTGTGGCCACTGGTTTCCGCTTCCTCTTTATGTCACGTGAACATGGTGGTCCCCAATGTACATTTGCCTGTCTGCAGATATAAGAAGAGAAAAAATGCTTTGAACTTTTTAATTCTTATTTTAAGACATTACGTGTACCCCAGATTAAATCCTTGAACCATTACAAACATAAACAAAGTGGGCACCATCTTTTCCCATTAAGTATTGGGACAATATTATTCAGAATTAATAATAACTCAATCTTTATCCACAATACACACCCATTATAAACTTTTTACCTAATTTCAGTGTAGCAGACATTCAAGATTAATTTCAATGAATATGTGTTTCATTATGTGCTTATTTTTATACAATTATTTTTTATAAAACTATAACCACAATTGTTCTAAACTCACTAATGAAATACTTACTCCCAAGAGGTAATACATTGAAAAGTTTAATGCTGCATGAACACAGATATTTGCATATAATTTTAATAGGATGTTTAACCTCTTGTCATGTAAATCTGAATTTTTAATACTGTCTATATCACAAGTTAAGTAAATTTGGTTTCTATGACTTTTAAAAATATTAATTATGTTTTTTATTTTACAGGCAAAAAAAGAAAATAAAAATATTAATTATGTGACAAGAATATGTTCCCTCATCTGAATATTCAGCTTACTTTAAAAGCAAAGGATTCTGTAAAAGACAATGGGCTTAACACTGAAATAGCTAGTATGGTATTTTAGTTCACCACTGTTCCCCAAAAATGCATTGTATTGTACCCAAAATAAGAAGTAAATAAAAATCTTTACATATGTTAAGATTTTGTCCCTTTCAAACTAGACAGATCCTGTCCCTGATTAAAGACCAAAATGAGTCTCACCTTTACACAAAGCTTTCCCTGAACATTTGGGCCTCATCTACCATGAAGCAATGTTTACCTGGTGTGCATATATCTTGCTTCTCCAATGAAACAAGAATGCTCAACCTCTTTGAGAGTAAGAATAGGGATCTTGAGAACAGAAACTTTATTTACACTTCTTTGATAATTTTCCAATGATCAATGATCTACCAACCCTAGCTCAGGCCATACTGGTGATCCTCACTAGTTGTAAAAATCGAATGGCCAACTAAACACTTAAAAGTGGTTAAAAGAGTAAATTTTATATGACGTACATTTTACCACAATTCTAAAAAAACTAGTCAAAGTAAATAACATATAAAATTATATCAGATAAACACCTAATCAATAGCCCCAGCTGAGGATCAAGACTCTTAGTAGTCTGAAAACTGGAACCTCAGACAAACCTTTTGAAAATCTGGTTAGCAAGGCAACAAGACAGCTGTTGAATGGACAAATTTTTTGACTCAGAAAGTTCCCAAAATGATGACTTCCACAGTTGAAAGGGGTGCATGCATGTGCATGTGTGTGCACACACGGGCGCACACACACACACACATTCTTTCACTTCTCTAAACAGCAAAAGCTTAAGAGTCAACTCAATTTATAAATAGGAAAATACAAGAATTTGATTAAATCCTAAGAAACTTTTTAGGAATGCAAAAATGTTACAGGCTGAGATTTACAATACAAAGCCAGTGGTTTGGAAAATTCCATCCAAAGCACCTCTTATTGATCACTCTGTCATGTACAGAAAATTAAGTCAAATACCTCATGAATAATTAATTCTGAAAGCCCAAACAGTTAATTCTAAATAGCTAATTATGAATGTGTAAAGTAGGGAAAACATTTCCCTTTTCATACCTTGCATAAAGCCTGGGAATAAGTCTAAGCTGCATGCTGATTTAATAATAAATTAACATCGATGACAACATCAAAGGTAGACAGGACTTCATTCTGAATGGAGTGGTGGCAATTCCCTTTGAAGTCCGGATGCAAACAGAAAATAAAGTGACACTACAAAATTGTGCTTATCCTCAAAACACAGAAATGCAGAACAAATAGAGCATCCATCTTTTCCAAAAACATGGGACTTGAGACCCAAACTGAGACTGTCCAAGCACTCTGATCTCATTCAATCATCCTTATCCACAGGCATGATTCAGATGGAGAAACAAAGTCAAACAAAGGCCATAGTGTATAGTCATGCTTCTTTCCTCTTTATCTGAAGCTCATTAAAGAAACCACCAAAACGTTACAGAAAAAATGTTAACACCACTGCTTCCAGCTAAACCATGCTACTGTTAGACATCAGGATGGTGGTGCTCTACCGCAGCGGTGAGGGGAGGACAGGAAGAGAAAGAGGCACAGAGAGCTTTGGGGGTTCTTTCTCATAATGCTCTTTTTCTTGATCTGGATGCTTCTACTCTTCCCTGTATGTTTATCCTTCAATAAAAAGTTAATTAAAAACATTGCTTCTTCAAGATCACAGTTTACAATATGCTGTGTTTCATGAGACAGATGCAAAATGAGAAGCAAAAGTACCCAAGAAGTGTACTAAGATATTAATTCTTGGAGTATCAACCTGAGCTGAACTACACAAATACTGCCTTTTATTTGCCCTCCTCCAACATTTTCAACATTTTGCATGTCTGATATATGTCAGTAACATGGGTAAGGGCTCATATTATCAACTCTTTTACGGATCTAGTCAGTACTACTTATCTCGCACTTTCAAGGAATGATAAGTGTCATTTTGGAATTTAAAAAAAAACTAAGCACTACAATGTTTAAGTTTTTAATAATTCTTAATGGAAACTCTTGTTTACTTTAGCAAACAGAGTAAGTATTACTTACCTATTATTATACATGCAGGATATTATACTGCAATGTCTTAGGGTGCTAGTGTGGGTTCAATGGCTCAGGTGGTCCTTCCTCCTCTAGGCAATATTGTTAAGCCTTCAAGTCAATTGTCTCTACATTAAGTGACCCTTGACTGCTATGCCTCCAGCATATAACTTCTCTCTGCAGTAAATGGCCTACTTCTACCATCCCATTCCTATTTCCAACTGTTGTCTTGAATATCCTAAATGCTTCAGATTTTGTAAATTCCTCTGGTTATAACTTAGGAAAGAGCTAAAGATTTTCTAAGGAAATCAAGTAATGAAGCTTGTCAATTATTTTATTGTAAAAGTACGTACTTTTGTGAACTATTTCCTTTCTACTAAGCAGTTTTGTTGCCTCTTACATTGTTCACTAAATTTTTAGTGAGCACCTACTCTGTGCCAAGCACTATATTAAACCGTAGGGATACAGAGATAAACAAGAGACAATCTCTGCCTTGATGGATCTTGTAGCCAAGTCCTGTCTGCAGCTGCACAGCTTTTCGGGTTACAGAATATGAATAACAAAGAAACTAAGGTATCAATAAACAGAAGGTATATTTGTTTTTAAAACTCAATTTAAATAATCCTTCCCTCTTAAAACATTTCTCTTAAGACCCGTTTTGAGGTTGGAGAGCTATTTCATAGGAGGCAGAATAACATCATATCTTAGCTGTCAGTATACAGGGATATTTTTCTCTATGCCCCTTCCTAGAGAAGATTTGCAGAGGGAAGAAGAGAAACAATCAAACTGTTATAAAAGGACAGTAAGACATTTTGCTTCTTTCTTGATTTTAAGTGAACATTAGTACTGCTAGAGTTTACAGCTTGGGAAGATCTATTTTTCTATGTGAAGGCCTCATCTGCTTGGAAAGAACCCAAGAGGACAAAGAAGGAAGAGGACCCAGAACAGGCCTGCTACACAATGGAATACTATTCAGCCATTAAAAAAAAGAATAAGTCCTGTCATTCACAGCAACAGGGATGGAACTAGAGGATATTAGGTTAAGTGAAAACAAGCCAGGAACAGAAAGTTAAACACCATGAGTTCTCACTCACAAGTGGAAGCTTAAAACAGTTGATCTCATAGAAGTGCTTAAAACAGTTGATCTCATAGAAGTAAAAAGTAGGACAGAGGATACTACAGGCTGGGGTAATGGAAGGGAGGGATAGAGAAGGATTAAAAGATATAAACTTACAGCTAGATAGGAGGAATAAATTCTAGCAGTCTATAGTACTATAAGGTGACTTACAGTAAGTTAACAATTATATATTACAGTTTCAAATAGCTTGAAAGAGGATATTGAATGCTCACAACACAAATAAATGATACATGTTTGAGCAGATGGATATGCTAATGACCCTGATTTGGTCACCACATATTGTATGCACTGAAATGCCACCGTGTACCCCATAAATATGTATAAGCATTGTGTGTCAATTTTTTAAAATAAAACTTTAAAAAGAAGAAGAAAAACGAACAAGCCTGGGAAAAATAAGAAGGAAGTGGGTACTTAGAGCAGAGGACTTAGAGGCAGAAAACGGAAGTTGCCATGCGGCATGGCACATCCAGAATATTAGGACAGCTCTGTTCAGGAGTAAAGAATCTTACCTGTGGGGCTGGCAGGGCTGCCTGTATTATTTTGGGAAACCTTAGCATTATGGGTAAGGCAACTGCTACAGCTCTGCTTCCTATTGAAGAGGCAGTTCCAGTTTTTTATACCCAAATAATTCCAGATCATCAATTGCAGACATAAAAAAATTAAAGAAGGGAAGGAAAAATAAAGAGGTTGACCATGTCCTCAACCCCATTTTCATTTTGGGGTACTTAACCACTTGGCTCCTTTTCTTTTTAATGTGTTATTTATTTAATGTGTGTGATTTTATTTTGAAAGCATCACTGTTTACTCTCCTAATGGAAACTAAAAAAGGGACAAAAGCACAAATGCGGTAACAAAAAGGACAGATAAAGAGTCTGAGCTTCTCTTTCTCACCAACACAGAGACCCTCCCTACAAGTAGAAAGAGTAGAAGATTAACCAGGTATTTCAGAACTCTTTTTCAAGAGTAGTATATGGTTGTTCTTGGGTTGCAAACCATGTAATGTGTTAGGGAAAGTGATCTTTCAATTAGGCAGAGTGTACAAAAGGCTAAGTACAAGTTAAAGTCTCCACCAAGTTAAAACTTCTTTCTCAACTAGAGTGGCAAACGGTTATCAGAATTATATAAGGAACTTTTACAAAATACACATATCCCTATCAAGATCCTAATTTAGTAGTCTGGGCAGGAGTGGGAGCAGAATCAGTAACAAATATATTTTGAAATTTTTCCCTGGGTAATTCTGATAAGAACCTACCTACTTCGAAAATTACTGAACTGAAAAATCTACCAAATTCTCAGAGCCAACCTAGTCAATAATAGAGATCTAACTATGCGACCTAAAGAATAATAGAATGATTAAATGAATATAAATTTAGATAAAAATACTGCTCCCCATATAGATGCAGTTAGAGAAAAGACAGGCTACACTTTCTCTGTTTCTTCTGATCAGGGCCTCAGGGACAATCTTCACTCAGGCCAGTGAAACCTGGGGCACGTGCTTCTTTCACAGTGTAAGCGTGGGATCAGTACTTCCCCTAAGAGTGTCACAGCTTCCCCAATTTGGTGGCATCTGCCAGGGCAGAGCTGGAAAATGAGCACTAAAAGCAAAAAATACACTCTTTTTAAAAAAATTCTTACCTCAGAAAAAGTCACAAAATTCTTACCACAAGTGTGAAGGTGAAGATTAACAATTAATGGAAAGAGGATTCTTTCTATCCACACATAAACACGTTTCTATTTTCTGTTTTACTGCAGGTAATTGAAAGATCAGGTGAGTTGTTAAAACTGCACTGTTACTTAGGAAACTGGGCAGATCACTATGTCCTTGGGGCAGGAATGTACTTTTAGGGAAAAAAAAAATACTTTGAGAAATACATGCATGTTTAATAGAACCAATGTTGGCACAAAAAAAAATAACTGAAGTGACTGCTTTACATTTGGAAAAAGGATGTTTAGAGTCACTCCTAAGGAGAGACAACAGTCTGTCTGCAAAGGGCAAGCTAGTTTAAGGAATAGTTCACCTTCAAAAATCACTCATTTTTAAAGTCAATGAAAAGTTCATTTTTTTATATGGAGTAAAAATCCTCAAAAAACTGGGTATAGAAGGAACACAACTCAACATAATAAAAGCCATATACGACAGGCCCACAGCTAGTGTCATACTGAATGGAGAAAAACTGAAAGCCTCTCTTCTAAGATCTGGAACCTGATAAGGATGCCCACCCTCACCACTGTTATTCAATTTAGGACTGGAAGTCCTAGCTAGAGTAATCAGACAAGAGAAAGAAATAAAGGGCTTCCAAACTGAAAAGGAAGAAGTATCCTTGTTTGGAGATCATATGAACTTATATTTGGAAAAACCTAAAGTGTCTACTACAAAACTATTAGAACTGATAAACAAGTTCAATAAAGTTGCAAGATACAAAATCAACACACAAAAATCAGCAGCATTTCTACATGCCAAGAGGAAACAATCTGAAAAGAAATAAAAAAAAATTAACCCCATTTATAGTAGTCGCAAATAAAATTAAATACCTAGGAATTAAAGCAAACGATCTCTGCAATGAAAAGTATAAAACATGGATGAAAGAAATTGAAGACACCAAAAAAATGGAAAGATATTCCATGTCCATGGATTAAAAGAATCAATATTGTTAAAATGTCTATACTACCCAAACCAATCTACAGATTCAATGCATTCCCTATCAAAACCAATGACATCCTTCACAGAAATAAAAAAAAAGAATCCTAAAATGTATCTGGAACCACAAGAGACCCAGATTAGCCACAGCTATCCTAAACAAATAGAACAAAACTGGAGGGATCACATTACCTAGCTTCAAATTATACTAGAGAGCTACAGTAACCAAAATAGCATTGTACTGTCATAAAAATAGACACACAAACTAATGGAACAGAATAGAGAACCCAGAAACAAATGCATACCTGTAGAGTGAACTCATTTTCAACAAAGGTGCCAAGAACATACTCTGGGGAAAAGACAGTCTCTTCAACAAATGGTGCAGAGAAAACTGGATATCCACATGCAGAAGAATAAAACTAGACCCCTATCTCTCACCATATAAAAAAATCAAATCAAAGTAGATTAAAGACTTAAATCTGAAATCTCAAACTATGAAACTACTACAAGAAAGCATTGGGAAAAATCTCCAGGACATTGGTCTGGGCAAAAATTTCTTGAGTAATACCCCACAATCACAGCAACTAAGGCAAAAATGGACAAATGGGATCACATCAAGTTAAAAACCTTCTGCAGAGCAAAGGAAACAATCAACAAAGTGAAAAGACAACCAACAGGATAGGAGAATGTATCTGCAAACTACCCATTTGACAAAGCGTTAATAATTAAAATATATAAAGAGCTCAAACAAACCTATAGAAAAAAAAATCTAATAATCCAATCAAAAAATGAGCAAAAGATTTGAACAGATATTTCTCAAAAGAAGACATGCTACTCAACATCACTGATCATCAGAGAAATGTAAATCAAAGCTACAATGAGATACCATCTCATCCCAGTTAAAATGGCTTATATCCAAAACGCAACTAATAATGCTGGTGAGGATGTGGTGAAAAGGTAACCCACATACACTGTTAGTGGGAATATAAATCAGTACAACCACTACGGTGAACAGTTTGGAGGGTCCTCAAAAAACTAAAAATAGAGCTACGATATGATCCAGCAATCTCACTACTGGGTAAATACCCAAAAGAAAGGAAATCAGTCTATCAATGACGTATCTGCACTCCCATGTTTGCTGCAGCCCTGTTCACAAGAGCCAAAATTTGGAAGCAACCTAAGTATCCATCAGCTGATGAAGGGATACAGAAAATGTGGTGCATATACGCAGTGTAGTACTATTCAGCCAAAAAAAGAATGAGATCCTGCTACTTGCAACAACATGGATGGAAATTGAGATAATTATATTAAGTAAAACAGACGAGGCACAGAAAGACAAAAATCACATGTTCTCACTTATTTGTGGGATCTAAAAATCAGAACAATTGAACTAATGGAGATAGAGAGTAGAAGGATGGTTACCAGATGCTAGGAAGGGTAGTGAGGGTGGTGGGGAATGGGGATGGTTAACATGTATGAAAAAGAGGAAAGAATGAATAAGATCTACTATTTGATAGCACAACAGGGTAGCTATAGTCAATAATAATCTAACTGTACATTTTAAAATAAAAAAGTAAAACTGGTTTGTTTGAAACACAAAGGATAAATGCTTGAGGGGATGGATACCCCATTCTCCATGATGTGATTATTATGCATTGCATGCCTGTATCAAAACATGTCATGTACACCATAAATATATACACCTACTACATACCCACAAAAATTAAAAATTTAAAAGTTAATAAAATTCAATGTAAAAGGGTATTTGTGTTCTATACTTTTTCTTTAACACAAACAAGCCACACCAGGAAAAAATTTGATGTTTCTAGGGACCAAAGGTCATATATATCATATATTCCAATTATTCTCCTTAATTACTAATCTATTTACTCAATTATTTTTAACAACAATTTATGGAGGCCTACCCTGTGTAAAATACCATGCTGGATGTGCAGAGGGAGATACAAGATGACTGAGCTGAGGTCCTGTCCCCAGGAGCTCACAACATAGTAGGAAGGCCAATTCCTAAAGAAAGAATTAATATTCCAAGATACTGAGTTGTAATCAGAGAACAAGTAAAGTGCTAGGGTAAAAAGAGAAAAAGGAGGGTTAAATCTAGGGATTTAATCCCTAGATTAAATGTGAGACTCCTTTCTCACATGCGGTTTTACCTTTAGGGTTTACTGACATTTATTAAGCAGTCAGGAGGGGAAATATTTTCACAGACTTGCACCTGGGAAAAGATCTAGGCCTATGACCCTAGGGGCAGCTAGGAAGAAAAAAACCACTTCACAATTATCACAGGAAACAGAGGAGGCTTATCTAACAGGAAGCAATCCTAGCAATTCCACTAATGGTTTTCACTTACATCTAACCCTCAGTAGTCTGTGACAAACTGCTCACTGGCACCTGAAAACTCTCCCTAATCTAAGTCCCTTAGCTGGTATAACATAGGCATATCATGAAGCTGTTTCATGCCACCCATAAGGGCCAAATCATTTCACATCAGTTGGAAAGATGAGTATTTTATAATGGAAAAAGAGACGAGAAAAAATGCTTTCAACAATCCACTTAGGCAGTAAGAAGCCAGCCAGCTGAGAGCTACTGTCAATGAGACCCTCCAACAGAAGACAAAAGATTCAAGAACTGTGTACTATACAATGGGCAGCTCCAATAGGCTCAGGCAGCCTGACAGACAATAGTACAGCAGAAACATTGCTTCACACATGGCCGAAACTGAGGCACTAAAGAGGTGAGAAAGCACCACTGTACTTCACAGCATCCTCAACAGATACAGGACTAATAAAAGGTTCTTTCCCCCAAGCCCTGAGGTAAAACCTCAGGCTGTTTATTATGGCTCCAAAGGTCAAAATTAATAGCATGAAGTGAGTCTTCTTCTTGCTCTTTGAAACTCCTTGTCAAGTGGCACAGCCAGCTGGGCACACAACTCTGATATGCAGATCATAACGTTTGTGAACAGATAAAATGAATTACAAATGAGCTCAGCCTATCCTATTTCAACTCTCTGATGGGCAGGAAGGTCTCTCTCTCTTTTTTATTTTAACCCCAACACTGTCCAAATACCTCCTCTTGTAGTTCATTTGGGGCCATTTAAGCACCTCAAGAATCTGTATTCATCTAATTAGCAAATGACTCTGGAAGCCAACTCAGTTTTTAAAATTGCAATTATCCTAAGGACAGGGTAGGGCAGTCATTACATAACAAAAATAATATTGGTTACCAAGATGTTCATATTTACATATATTATTTCATTTTGATACCCACTCATCCAATTTAAAAAGTATTGATATTTCCATTTGAAAGATGTAGAAATTAAGTTATGGGAAGATTAAGTCATTTGCCTGGGTAAAGCCAGGATTCTCACCCAGGTTTGTCTGACACTAATATCCACGCTCTTTATCTCCTACTACCTATGCCAATGGACTATAAAGAAAGTAGAAGCTATGAGACTTCATTCATTCATTAAGAAACATGTATAATATTTGCACACCAGGCTGATATCTGTCATCCTTACTGCAACTAAAAGTAAGATTTCTCAAAGAAAAAATAGTTTATTTACAAAGGAAACTGACCTATATGAAAAGAAGATATCGTGCTTTGCTATTTTAGAGCTTAAAGAAATAATAAATTTAAATGGTAATGCATGACCAAATTATCTTCCAAAATAAAGGTCACTAAAAGTTGACCTTTCCTTCTGAGTTGGAGAAAATTAAAGCAATGCCATGAAAAGTTTTTGCTCTCAAAAGCCGGAACTGGTGACTTACGCATCACACCGATGCAACTGACCTGCAAATAGCAACTAATTAATTCTAGCTATCATTTTCTTTGGTAATAATAGTAAGAAAAACTATCCTTCAAAATCAACAAATCTCTCATTTTGGGATAAACTGCTTGCAGCACTAGTCTTCTAATTACAAGTGTGTGACTATGCCCTTAACAATACCACTGCCTCTACCGGAACACCAACCACACCATCTGCTGTTTGAGCAGCAGCAATTCTTAACACCAATATCAATTCAAGTATTACAACTTTAACAGCAAATCCCAAAACTGGCAACCAAAACAACCAAACCAAAACAGTTGGTTTATGGATTTCACCTACAAGCCCAACCAACTATCCAACTATCCATACATCCACCTGACAAAACTCTGCCCCCCACCCATTTATTAAGAACTACATGCTGGGCACTGTGCAAACACTATACTCTTCCTTACCTGCAGCAGGTTCTCCAAAGCTAAGAGAAGTCCAGACATCTACCTATGACAAGGAATGGTGCATACTATAACAAAGTACAGAGTTCGTGCCAATTATGAAATGGGAGCCCCTATTAAGCAAATTACAAGGCACCAGTCACAAAACCTTATGCATTTAGGACAACAGTTCTTAACCCTGGCTGCATATTAATCACTAGGGAGCTTTAAAATAATACCAACGTCTAGGCCTCGCCCCAGACCAATTAAATCAGAATCTCTGGAAGTGGGGCCCAGCATGGACATATTTTCTTTTCTTTTTTTTTTTTTTTTTGAGATGGAGTTTCACTCTTGTTACCCA